TCTATTGTACAAGTCTGCATTTTGGTCATGTATACGTGTCACTTAAATGTAAATGCATGCTTTTGATATTATCTGTATCTTCTTTTATCAAGAAAAATACAGTTCTGTATTCCCTGTTGACAACTAAAAAATGCAATTCCGTATATCCCCTGTATACATTGAAAATACGATTCCGTATATCCCCTGTATATGTAGAAAATACCATTTCGTATATCTTCTGTATATGTAGAAAATACGATTCCGTATATCATCTGTATATGTAGAATATACGGTTCCGTATATCCTCTGTATACGTAGAAAATACGAGTCCGTATATCCTCTGTATATGTAGAAAATACGGTCCCGTATATCCTTGGTATATTTATAGTATACTAGGGATAGCAACCTTAATATAGTCCGTATACGGGATTTTATTCTCCGTATACTTCAAAAGTACGAAAAATATACGTACATGTATATGGGGCAAATACGGAATTCCGTATATGCCTGATGCATATACGGACTTCCCGTATACCCGGTGTTCCCTATACGGACTCGTATACTTGGTCCGTATATTCGACGAATACATCCCGTACACGCCCGTATATATCAAAAATACGGGACCGTATATTCCCGTATATCAGTATATTTTTCGCAGTGTTTGACACGGAAGTAACGTCTGGATAAGACGGTAAGTAATTAAAAAGTGATTATTACTTCACATTGTTTTCTTTTGTCATATTTTTTTTAAACTTTGTATATCCTGATTATCTGTAGAGATGGAAAATTATTTGAGCAAAAAAGTATGTGTAACATAAGTGCCTTAACGGACGGCGAAAAACTAGGTTAATATTTCGTGTTTTAGCTTTGCGACTCCCCATGCAAAGATACTATGTACAAATTGCAGGCTAAAATACAAGATTCAAACTGTGGCTTGATTTCGCCCATGAAACGACAAAGGATACGACAAACTGTTGATTAAGACATGATACATAGAATGTTGCGGGGCGAAAAGTCGCCAGGAGAAAACTCGTTAAAACTGCAAATTTCGCCCCACGCGAAAAAAATATTTTCGTCTTTTCGCATTTCGCACGGAACAAATCAGCCACCATATCCGAAATATATTTGTATTTCAAAAATAAGTTCGATGACTGCATGATGTTTACACTTCAATTAATGCAGACATTTAAAGGTATTTATAGAATAGTTTAAATACCACCGAAGCCGATAAATTGTAATATCGCGTCACGATTAACATAATAAAACGACAACGCTTAAGACTAAGCGGTAGTTCATTGTTAAACCAGTTTATAGCGCTTTTTGATAAGTCACACGAACAACACTTTCTATTTTGAAAATTTTAAGGGTAAGGCGGAACGGGCATAAAGCAAGATGGTTTCTGATCAATAACTTAAGTTCAAATTGACTGTCTCAATTTAACTTGGTATATAGGGAGCTTATGGAAGACCTCGCTTTCGCTAGCTTAGGTTTACGTTTGCGGTTACTAAAAAAAGAAACTGGTTTCTGGTCAATACCTAGAGTAGATGGGATAATATAATAAAACTTGGTATGCAGCAAGCTTATGCGGATAAATCGCTGAATATTGCTTTTGGGGCCCCTAGGGTCAAAATCATTAATTTGTTAGGAATAAACTGGGTTTGTTGCAAAGCATATGTAAAGACCTCATTTGAGATTGCTTTTTGGTCAGGTAAAGGTCAAATCACTGTTTCTTAAAAAAGATTATTTTCCGGTAAAAATCTTTAGTAAGGAATGACATAATTCAATAAAACTTGTGTGAGCAAGCTTATGTGAAAACCTTACATTCGTGTGGGCCGTCAAGGTTGCTGAAACTAAAAATGGAACATTTGGTTTCTTGTCAAAAACTAGAGCTAGGTATGAGATATTTCAATAAAATTTGGTGTGTTGCAAGCTAAGGGGGACGTCGTCACTTGCTTTTGGGTCATGCAGGTTCGAAGTCAATGTTGCTGCTACTGAAATAGAAAATTTAATTTTCTGGTCAGTAATAATAAGAATTCGGAATTGGACAAATCAATAAAACTTTGTGTCTAGCAAAGATGATTTGAAGACCTTGCTTGCTTTTAAGTCACATAGGATCAAGTCAATGTCATTGTTACTAAAAATAGAAATTGGTTTCAGGTGGATAAACAGAGTAATGTGTATGATTTATAAAAGTATTTGGTGTATGACTAGCTAGCTAATGTGGAAACCTTACTCTGAAATTTTCTTAGGGCCCCTCCCTCCAGGATCAAGGTCAATGCTACACCAATTCCTAAATCTGCGGTAATTACAAAATGCTCGTTTATTTATTTTGTTTCTTTACTATTCATCCTCTATATTGCACAAAGTTACATTGTTTATTGCTAATATTTGTACCACAACTAAGAACAGAACTTTCTAGAATGTTGATAATTGAAAACCTGCTTCAGTTTCACAACCATATCTCGTGTAAATGTACTGTTAAGCCATTTCAAAGCTTAATGTAAATTAAATTTTAGTACCATTTTTATCATATTTGTGTGTCTCCTGCATTTCGATTTTTTATATAACAGTACATACTTTTATTTAGAAAATAACATTTAGAACATTAAATTACATTTACTATCGTATGTTTCCTGACCTGCATTATTGCATTGATATAAAAAATTGAGTAATTATGTACTCTTCTGCGCATCGGTCAAATGTTTCACTATTTAATAAGCTGCTAACGGAGATAAGTATAAATGTTTAGACAGCATAGTGCATTACCGAAATCATAAGGTAAACAGCATTAATCGATTTCGCTTCTATCTGTTTAATCTACGTCTAACGTTTATAACCTGATTTATCCCATGTGATGTTTATTTTTGACCGAACGCATTCATCTCGACTTGTTCCATTTCTCATGATAAATTACCCCGTTGTTTATTGTGCCAAATAAATAAATAACGATGTATAAAAAAAACTTAGAAATAACATAAATTATACAAGTTTACAAGGTTTGCTTCTTGTTCTATAATGTTTTCCTTTTTATCGAACTTTATGTTTCAGCATAAACAGTGCATCTGCGCCCTCTTCCTGATAAAAGCCATATAAGATGCGCTAGTAAATCTCTGTCAAGTCTGCAGTTGTTACCATAGTGTATATCTCAGCAAAAGCACTGATTTGATGTCTTTTTGTGCATGATGTCAGACAAAGATCGTGGCTATTACAAGTTTATCCAGGAACTTTGTCCGCAGACACTCGTAGAAGTGTGCAGAATGAGAAAGTCATATAAAGATATGCTTCAGCAGGTTAAGTGTTTTTTCTCTCTCTTACTTTATAAGAAAGCTTTTTCGAAAATTCTAATGCAATTTATGTGAAGTTTTCTGGAAATGGGATTGAATTCAAAAGTGTTTATAGCCGACATATTTTCGTCTCAAGCAGTAAATGTTATGTAAGAAATAATAAGAAATGAACATCTCAAATCCAACGAGTGCTGCAAATCAAATCATAATGTGCATTTTAAACAAATAGCGATGTCCTTTTAAATTACATGAAATTTTTAATTCTCTTTTTTTCCAGCAAATTATATTCAAACCAAATTATCATTTTGATTTGCATTCATCATTTGTATTGTTTTAGGTTGAAATCTTATCAGACATATGGAATGGCACAGGTATGTTTATTTCTTTTTTAAAAATATTTGTCGGTACACTTTCTCTATTGAAAAATTACATAATGGTTAACTAAAGGCGAGAACTTAAGATAATGAAAGCATGTCAGGATAAAATATTTATGATTAATATTTCGTTTATTTTCTTCTTGTTGCTTGTCTTCATTGATTAATATTGTTTTACTATGCACCCTGTGTCCTAACAATGTCAATAAAAAAATCATCATAAACGGTTTTTTTGTACATAAAATGTTAACATGTCGTGTTGTGTAAACATTGTTATCTCTATCGAATCTTATCCCTGTTAAAACTTTTTCTATATTAATTCTATCTAGCTTACATAGTTACGAAGTTTGCAAAGACGTGTTATGGTATCAAAATCTGCCTGCAACGGAATATCGGAAAAGAGGACAATACACTGGACGCGTCAATTGTTTACATTCAGGTTTATGTCTGCTTTTGTCTGTTGAGGTCTTCTAGTTTTATCCTTTATTTTGATGTCCTTTTACCAACAGTATCTTTTTTGGTAGATCTTAAGGCAAACATAAATAGACGTATTTTCAAAGTATAAGTTGATTACAAGACATTGATTGTCCACTTAATGTGGTTGTAAGCATGACATGAACAATAAAGAATTATTTTTCAGTGAGGTATTAAAAATCATGTTTATAAATTCGCCTGAAGTTAAATTAGATTTTCAACACGTTTACAGTTTCTCCTTCATTTTACCGATGCCTTTTTAAATAGGTATTGTTTGACAGTATATCAGCACCTGTTTCTACATCTATGAACATCATTGCCGATATCAATAAATGGAAACAAGACAATTTCGCAGAAGGCACCGATTCCAAAGGTACAAATACACTTTGCATATACCAATAGATTATTATTTGATATCTAAAATGTAATCGCGACACATTGTCCAGTCCAAAAGATCAAACATCACTGTGCTCTCGTCCATTTATTATATTCATATAATTTCCCAGTAACATGCATTTCGAATGAGGGCCCGGGCCTCACCCAAGGTTACAAGTACTTCCTTTTAACCCAGAGAACCATGAAAAACATATACATTAAACATAACATTGATAAAGAAAAGAAATCTGGGAACGGTAGCAATTGTAGTTGATGGAAGTCTAGATATAGGTAATTGTAAAGAATAAAGGTCTGATAAGAATGAAAAAAGATTATCATAGAGTTATTTGGCCATACTGGTGTTTCATATATCTGCTACACTTACAGTTTTCATATTTTGTAATTTATATTGTTATAAGTTATAATTAGTTGATAAATTGATGTTGAACAGAAATATTCTCATTGTTCAATTTAAGGTATGAAAATAGCACAATATTCATCCAGGAACTTTAATCGTTCGGCAAGAGTGTGTATAATCGTATGCTACGAAACATATATGGTTATCGGAGAAGGATTGAACATCATGGTTTTCATCAATAACATCTATCATAAAATTACAGATGACTATGCAAATCAAAACAATTTAATGATCAACAACAATGCGGCAATTATTTGCACACGTAAGGATATTGGTATATATTAAATCAAAAGACTAATTATTTTGCTAAATGAATGGCTTAATTGAATATGTACGCTACTCAGAAATAAAATTCAAGGTACAATATAAAACATTTTTTATTAAGAAAATGTAAAAGTGCTATCATATAATGTGTCTAATATGGTGAATGAATCCTGTCGTTTCCAATTACTGCAAGGTAAATCTAATGTTATTTGTCTTGGGGTCGATTATCAAAATCTATCATTTAAATTGTATTAAAGTGAATGCTACTATGTTTTTTCTGTCTATTTCTTTTTAAAAATAACAGATCAGTTTTGCGGCCAAAAGCCAATCACAGACACAAATAGTTGCAATGAGGAGGACAATTTAGAACGTTCGGAAAGCTATACAACTCCGCGGGTAAAATTCGTTTTGCATAATAACATTTAAATGTAACTATTTATACTATTATAAGAGAGGCAACTCTGTCGATCTTGTTAAAATAATTTGTAATATATAAGTTGACAATTAAACTTGACCATAAAACCATAACACTGTTTCATTATTAGAATAAATGATTACCATAACGGGATAAAGATTATGGACTCATCAATATGCTTTGTATATTTGGTGGCGTGTATGTCCATTTAATTGTTGTCTATTATATTTGATATCAGGGTCATTTAGACTTAAAAATTTCAGAAAATATGGATGGAGATGTTCATCTGAAACGTACCCGAAACAAGAAACCAAACCTTTATTTGGATAAATTACTCATGGTAAGAAAACATGTAATAAAAGTTATGTAATATCTACTTCTTGAGCTAATAACTCTACTTATAGCTTGAAATCAGTTATTTAAATATAATACTTAATAAATTATGAGAAAAATAAACATTTCTGGAGCAATTATCGTGTGTTCATTCATAAAGTTACATTTGACTATGCTTGATATAGATTACACGTTATTATTCTTCTTTTCAGGTCCTGTTCATCCTCTTCACCATAGGCCATGTTGTAAATGGAGCTCCCCGCAACGACAATACAATAATGTTTTCGAAAGATTTGCTTGTATCGAAATACTGTAACATTGACAATTTTTATTCATTGAATGAACTCTGTCACACCAATGGAAATGACCTTCAACTCGTGACAGACAGCTGCGATTTCTCAGATCTATGTGATGAAGATGAAAAGCCATATTGTATCAACACTAATGAATTTGGTGCCTTCGTGTGTTTGAAAAAGAATTTATCATGCAAGAAAGGTACATTGATTAATATGAATCATAGTTAAATATATGTCAGTTAATTGTTAAGTATCCTGTTAATTCATGATTGTGACAAATTTTATTCTAATTATAAACTAATGCTAGAGTTTAATAATAATACCTTTCCTGAAACGTCCGTTCTTTATAAATGTTAAATGGGACGTAGCAAGAATAAATATACCATTTTCATATTAATTATTTTGTTTATTATCTGGATTGATTGTCGTCTTAACGTTAATGTTACTGTTGTTTCCTGGTATGACGAAAACAATATACTCTTGAAATATTTATCAATATATAAATATTTATTTAACATTCTTAAAACGTTTCCATTAATCATTATTAACAGTATCTTCATTTTAATAACAAGTTACCATTTTTGTAATGGAGTGCATTTCATGTTAATTCTGCAGTTCGATTTACCTTCATTACCTTCAATGTCCATTTTAGGACGGTATTACAAGGCATTCGTTGATGATAAATTTAAAAACAAAATATTTCTCCTGGAAGATGATTGTGCAGACGGAAAATACCAGCAATATGAATCTGACTGTATCCACGCATGTACAAACGAACACAGAGACCTGAATGACATCCCTGAAAGATACGTTGTGTTTTCCGTGGGAGACACAGTTAACCCTACCCAAGTTTATTGCAACTTTAAACTTGGATTCTTCAACGCCCATGGCAATTTTCTGCTGGATTACGACCGAGATGAATTCACTTACTCGTTCTTGTGTGAACATATTAACGATAATAATCCATGCATATCGACGAATCTCCCTCTTCCAAGTAAATCTTTTGTAATATGTTTTTCCTTTTTAATTCTTATATAATGCATGTTTAAAATTTTACTGATACTGTTATTTTGTAACGGACAATCGTAACGTTCATTATGCACTGATAGACACTTCTAACATGACTGTTTTCGGAATTGTTTTGCAGAAACAGGGCTTCAAATATTATTCTCAAATTACTTCAGAACTTAATCAGCCACTTCCTACACATCATTAATAAAATCATTCATCCCTGATGAATTATCAGTTCCACAAGTCGATTACTACGAATGAATGCAATTTTTAACCTTTTAACTTGCTGTTTAAGCAAATGCTTATATGTTAAGTGATTATGTGCATGCATGGCAAATGTATTTTCTTTCGAACTCTCCATTCCACTACTTTAATCAAAGTGACAAACGGTATGTGCCTCTTCTCCCACTTCTAGCCTTAAATTTAAATTTCAGATGGCACTTGTGCTGATAAATGTGATGAAGGGTTTGAGAGGAAAGCACCTGACTTTGAATGCACTCGAATGTAAGTGAATATCTTCTAAGAAATATTAAATGTGAAATGGAATATTTGTTTTTTTGCAGACACTACAATTAAACAAATGCAACAAAATGTATTCATTTATTTACTTAAATTTGTATATTTCTTATATTTAGAATTATATAATATAGAAGTGAATTGAGCCTATGAAATATGTTATTACAGATTAATGATATTAGATATATAATGCGAATATAATGTATAATTATTTGGCGATATTACAGACCCAGAATACAAACACTACTGACATTTTATTAATAAACACTACATAAGGAGAACCTTACAATCTAAATTCAGTAGTTACTCTGCTGTCACACTGGTGCAATTTTCGTGTCTGATTGTTTGGCTGTGCTCAACTCTATTAATTTAGATGATACATGTGCATAATTCATTCTCAGAAATGAAAAAGAAAAACATTTATAGAGATTTCTTGCATGAATCTTGATTTCATAGGGACATTTTTCCTGAGACAAAAACATTAACATTACAACCAGCTACAGAGAAAACATCTTTTACAACGTATATGCATCCTAAGACAACGACACTGCCAAAGAGCGAGACACCAGGTAAATTCATGTAAACTATACTTTCTTTACATATGATCACATCATACTTTGAATGAGTCTAAAGTATTTTGCTTAATACGCAAACTTGTATAAATTATACGGTCACGTTCATATTGTAATTGTAATAAACGTTAAAAGGTTAAGCAACACATAACGATACAAATATTTTATACAAGTATCCAACTAGTTTGATAAGTGCTGTCTTATGAGAAACAAGAAGCAATGTGAAGTGAGTTCTGGAACAAGGGTGTGTATATGTATATAGAGATCAGTGACCAAACTACAAAATTGAATAAAATTATGGTAAGTCCGCGACTTTTATTTTAATAACAACTAATCACAACACGGCCAATGTCTCTGTTACTGGTTTGGCGTAAGTACTATAATTATACTCTTATATTATAATGAACAAGGAAAGCTTAAACATGAATAAAAAGGGTATTTAAACATTTCAACAAGTGTCCGTAGTCTAACAAAATAATAACATATTTCAGAAATTACACAAAGAACGTATGCCAATGGCAATACAGTAGATCCTGGTGATAAACAGAGCCTGGAATTTCCTTGGTGGGCATTTATATGTAAGTATAAAAATTTGACGTAATACATTAACTTTAAAATACATGTAAATGAATAATGATCATTGTTATATTTTACATTTCTTAAACGAATAAAAGTACAACCAGGCATACAATAAAATAAAGTAAAATATTAACTACTTGCATAATTTTGTATACCACAAATAGATTTTGAGATTCTGTATAACTTACTGTGAGGTCTGATTTTTAGCAAAGTATTTTAATTGTTATATATTTTGATATTTACAGTTATATTTGGCGTACCTATAGGATTTGTGTCAGCAATTTTGTATTATGTGAAAAGAAGTAAGTATTAAAAAACAATAATAAATATGACATCTGATAGACCCGAAAACAATATTTTTTCATATAACAATAAATTACGGATCATTTTATATTACCTCAATAGAATGTGTTCTGTACGCAAAGATGCATGGTATATGTTGAATAATATTAACTGAACAATTTATTTTCTTCAATTTAATGTCCTATATAATTTTAGCTGTTTATAGTTAAAGAGGGCGAACGTTTTACAATTATGTTACTGAAGATCTTGCAAAGGGTCATGTCATCTATAGTAAATTAAATAGAATGCTCAACAAGGGAGAAGACATTCCCCAAACTCAGTCGAAATAAAACCCAGGAACATCTGTAAGAGAATCAGCAAGAAGGAAAACACAGCGGACGATATCTGATTATCAAATCAAATTTGCTTGTTTTAATTACAAAGGAATTTAAACCTTGGATACACCGACCTGATAATAGAATGGACAAGTCGTCTTATACCTACGAAGACCAGTGGGGACGGACATTTCAACTTCATGTATTCCCCATTTCATCTTCGTGAATTCACGATTTCAACTCTTAAATTCACTATATTAACTTCAAGATTACATGATTTCAACTTCATGAATTAATATTTTGAACTTCAAGATTTAAACTTCAAGAATTCATGTTCGCAAATTCTTGAATTTACGGTTTCAAATTCATGTAGTTGAAAAACTTGAATTCATGATGTTAAATTATGAAGTTCAAAAGTGAATTCAGTCCCGAAGTTGATCTTGCGAAGTTGAACTCGTAAATTTATGAAATTAAAATCATGAATTCCTGAATATCTTGAAAACATGAATTTTGACGCTATGATTGAACGACTATAAAAATATGCTAATAAAAAAGTATTCTTTGTTATTTCTAACCGAAATATAATTTTTATGAAATATGCAGAAAGAGATGAGCGACTAAGGCAAGCAGTGACATACAATAATAGAACTTACATAGAGAATCAGATCATAACTGTACAAACATCTGACAGTTTGAATCTACCAGGTCATCTGGGTACATTATTACAGCCGGGAAACAATAGTGTAAGTGATAAAATCTACAACATATAACTATAACCACAAATAGTAATTTTTTTATTTGTTGTAAGTGACATTAAGTTTTTACGAGGTTTCAGTTTTATATAATGTCTTTGCACTTTTTGTAAATGTCAAACAAGCCCTTGGCTACTCGTTCAGTAGAATTCGACCTGTTGGGTACTCTTCAAAATATGGATTTACCTCCATATTGTACAGATTTCAGTTGATTTACTTATTTTTTTATATCTTAAAAATCTTGTGTGTGTGCGCAAGCGTGTGTGCGCGCGTGTGTGTGTTTGTCTTATAATATATAGACATTCTTTGTTGCAGGGTGCATCATTGTTTATTCTTTCTTTTTTAGGATGATCAACAGAGCAGTGAGTTAAAAATTGAAGAAAAGTTTTCTTAACTATAAGTCTAGTCTTCTATTCTATAAAAGATATTACCTTGAACCTTTATCTTAAATACTAAATACATTATAGATTATGATTATCACATTGAACAAGTCCATTATAACCATTATCACCGTTTTTCTAAAAAGGGCAAAATAACTTAAGAGTAGTATAGGGGCTTCTTTAACGCCACGTCTGCGCATACGCGACGCCATATTGGATTCTATTTTTAAAATGACATTTTCATTGTTCTATTTTTAGAATGTGATCATCCGTCTAATTTTAGAAATCAATTTTAATCTCCTGGAAGTATACGGAACCAACTCTTATACACGATCTAGGGCTGGAATCGCGGACATTGTAGGTCAGGTCCTCGGCCCTAGTCGGAGAGATAATTACCATCATTACAGATAAAAGAAATGTTTGTAAATAGATACGTGCTTAACATTTGAATTTATAAATTTAAAAAAATTACAAATAGTTTTTTAATAATTATGTTCAAAATAAATAATATTTATACATTTAATATTTGTAAAATATAACTTGTTTACTCTCCAACATCTAGTAAGGAAATGACTGTAAGGCGTAGCGTCCTTGTAGACTGCGCATGTGCCGATCTATTTTTAGTCGCGGTCTTTCACAATCACCAGGAGCTATTTCATCAGCCCCACGCAGGTGTCAATGAAAGAAAAAGCATTGGGCATTAAGTACAGTCGCCGCTCAGTCTAGGCTTATAATACCTAGCAGAACTATGTTGAATAAAAAACCTTTGTCCTTCGTTACTAAATATAGCTTTTCATTAATCAAAGTTCGGTTCGCTCATCACAAAAGATCAATAGAATTGACGGTCAATTATTTTCGTTTGATGTCCCCGAAAAGCAATTAAATTGCGTTCAAGCGTTATACGGCCATTTATCAATGTTAGAAAAAGTCATTAAATGGCATTGAGGCGTAAATGGTTTACCTGGTGCGTGTCGGACAAGGTCTTGACAAATGCTACAAGCTCGTACTTTGAAACTGGAAGTACTGGAAGTGAAATCACTCATGAGTAAAAATCATTAAAATATCCAAAATAAGCTTACCCCAGTCTTTATTCCTCGCCTATCAATTTATTTATGACAATACACTATAGCCTATCGTTGAACGGTCCAGTTACGACAGGTTTAAACCGGTATTGCTATTTTTGATCAGCCAATGAAATTGAAGAACGATGACGTCTAAAAATAGACAGCCTCATTTTGAACCCACTCATTTTCATCAACCAATGAAAAGTGGAGAAGCATGACTGGATAAATTTTGACATTATGTATCTAGAAAAAAAACGCCTTTTTATCTTTTATGCAACACTTTACAATATCGATTTTCAAGATATTTGTTTCATTTGATAGACCTGATCAAATGCTTCAAAATAATCCCTAGGTTTTCGATTCGATTTTTAGACGTTCTCGAGTTATGGCCCTTTATTGTTTTTTTAAACCACTTTTTTCAAAATCCATAAATCCCTTAGATGTATTTACCGTTTGAATAATCTCTGCGAGTAGATACAGAAAATGTATTATTATATGGTTCTATCTCTTACCATTTCTGAGATAGGAGAGTTTGAATATGGCAGACAAAATCACTCATGCGGAAAAACGCGCATAACTTTTTCGTTTATGAACGAAACATAGTCGTGTTTGGTATCAAATTGAAGGACTTGACGAGTACATTATAGTCACGCGATCAAACTAGATGTCAAGTCACTCATGCATGAAATTCATTTTTTCTCCCCAACCAACGGAGTGATCTTATCAATACCTGTATCGAACGAAATGTATTACTCTCTAGATTCAGAAAATGTATACTTTTGTATCGCTGTCTCGAACAGGGCCTGAGAAATGAAGTAAAATCACTCAAGCGTAAAAAGTGGAATTACGCCTTCCTTAGTCAATATGACCCAGTCATGTTTGGTATCGTACGAAATGTTTTAAGGCGCTCTTTATTCATACGGACTAAAAATCACTTGTGAAAACGCTCTATTTCTACTAAACATTCTTTGTTGAAAATACTGTACTTGAAATATAAACTCAACTTACTTCGTAATGATGTTTACTCTATGATGTCCAATCACCAAATGACTGAAGTCACCACTGTGATACATTATACTGCCGCCGCCGCCACCACCACCGCCACCAAAGCCACCACCACCTTCACACCACCACCACCACCTCCTCCACCACCACCACTGCCACCGCCTCCTCTACCACCACCACTACCGCCACTTTCACACCACCACCACTGGTGGTAGTGATGGTTGTGGTGGTGGTAGAGGTGGTGGAGGTGGTGGTGCTGGTGGTGGTGGCGGTGGTTGTGTTGGTGTTGGCGGCGGCAGTTTTGGCGGCGGTGGTGGCGGCGGCGGTTGCTGCGGCATTGGTTGTGGCGGTGGTGATGGCAGTGGTGGCGGTTGTGATGTTGGTGGTTGTGGCGGTGGTGGTGGTGCAGGTGGTGGTAGAGGTAGTGGTTGGTGGTGGTGGAGGAGCAGGAGATAAATAGAAGACAGATCCTGTTTCCAGTCATACGTGTTTATTGATAAAATATACGCAGGAAAACATATTCTTTTTTTATACACACGTATTAAAATCTGACTGGCTGCTGTTTTTGGCATGACGTTATTCATCTATTTATGTTTTTAATAATCACGTGACCAAAATCGTTGGTCAAACAATCCTTCTGTCTGATTCGTAAGAAAAGAGAAACTGCTGTTAGATTGGACAATATAATTTCTAAATTTAGATCAGCGCATGCATATAATGTATCGCAGTGGTGACTTCAGTCATTTGGTGATTGGACATCATAGAGTAAACATCATTACGCAGTAAGTTGAGTTTATATTTCAAGTACAGTATTTTCAATGAAGAATGTTTAATTGAAATAGAGCGTTTATGCACTAGTGATTTTAGTCCGTATTCATAAAGAGCGCCTTAAATGACCGGGTTATGTTGACTTAGGAAGGCGTAAATCCACATTTTACGCTTGAGTGAATTTACTTCATTTCTCGGGCCCTATTCGAGTCAGCGATACAAAAGTATACATTTTCTGAACCTAGTTTGTAATACCTTGTTCGATACAGGTATTGATAAGATCACTCCGTTGGTTGGGGAGAAAAATGAATTTTACGCACGAGTGACTTGACATCCGGTTTGATCGCGTGACTATAATGTACTTGTCAAGACCTTAAATTTGATACCAAACACGATTATGTTTCGTTCATAAACGAAAAAGTTATGCGCGTTTCTCCGCATGAGTGATTTTGTCTGCCATATTCAAACTATCCTACCTCAGAAACGGTATAAGATAGATCCATATAGTTAAAATTTTCTGTATCTACTCGCAGAGATATTTCAAACGGTAAATACATCTAAGGGTTTTATGGACTTTGAAAAAAGTGGTTTAAAAAACCAATAAAGGGCCATAACTCGAGAACGGCTAATAATCGAATCGAGAACCTAGAGATTATTTTGAAGCATATGGTCAGGTCTATCAAATGAAACAAATATCTTGAAAATCGATATCATGAAGTGTTGCATAAAAGACAAAAAGGCGTTCTTTTCTAGATACATAATATCAAAATTTATCCAGTCATGCTTCTCCACTTTTCATTGGTTGATGAAAATGAGTGGGTTCAAAACGAGGCTGTCTATTTTTAGACATCATCGTTCTTCCATTTCATTGGCTGATCAAAATAGCAACACCGTTTTAAACCTGTCGTAACTGGACCGTTTAACGATAGGCTATAGTGTATCGTCATAAATAGTTTGATAGGCGAGGAATAAAGACTGGGGTAAGCTTATTTTGGTTATTTTAATGATTTTTACGCATTAGTGATTTCACTTCAGGTTTAACAGTACGAGCTTGTAGCATTTGTCAACACCTTTCGTTTGAATACTTTGTCCGACACGCACCAGGTAAACCATTTACGCCTCAATGCCATTTAATGACTTTTTCTAACATTGATAAATGGCCGTATAACGCTTGAACGCAATTTAATTGCTTTTCGGGGACATCAAACGAAAATAATTGACCGTCAATTCTATTGATCTTTTGTGATGAGCGAACCGAACTTTGATTAATGAAAAACTATATTTAGTAACGAAGGACAAAGGGTTTTTGTTCAACATAGTTCTGCTAGGTATTATATGCCTATACTGAGCTGCGACTGTACTTAATGCCCAATTGACACCTGCGTGGGGCTGACGAAATAGCTCCTGGTGATTGTGAAAGACCGCGACTAAAAATAAATCGGCACATGCGCAGTCTACAAAGACGCTACGCCATTACAGTCATTTCCGTACTAGATGTTGGAGAGTAAACAAGTTATATTCTACAGATATTAAATGTATAAACATTATTTATTTTGAACATATTAAAAAACTATTTGTAATTTTTTTAAATTTATAAATTAAAATGGTCAGCACGTATCTATTTACAAACATTTCTTTTATCTGTAATGATGGTAATTATCTCTCCGTCTAGAGCCCAGGAGCTGACCTACAATGTCCGCGATTCAAGCCCTAGATCGTGTATACGAGTCAGCTCTGTATACTTCTGGAAGATTAAAATAGATTTCTAAAAATAGACAGATGATCACATTATAAAAATAGAATGATGATGTCATTCTAAATATAGAATCCAATATGGCGTCGCGCATGCGCAGACGTGGCGTTAAAGAGGGCCCTATACTACTCTTAAGTCTGAATAAAAGAAGTACGTTCTAGAATACATCAATTATCTTAAAAATCGTATAATAGATAAGCATTATTTCAGAAATTTTCAATTCTAAGACTGTTAAAAAAACACAGGGCATGGCTTTTTTTAAAAAAAAAAAAAATGAAACTCATTTCCTTTACATTGCAGATGGTGGAGATTAAACAGAACAACATTCCTCATTGTTCACACATTTTCAGTTGAATGACATGCCGGTTGATGTTAATGATGCAAATCTTGAGTACACCATTATAAGAGACAGAAAAAAATGACTGAAATATGTTAATTTTAATCCGCCTGCGAAAATAGTCATATCATTCTTTGTTTGGTAAATATATTAAATATTTACCATTTTCCTGTGATTTAAACATGGTACAAAAATATTTTTTTAAAATCTATTGATATAGTAGCATACATTACCAGATATAAGTCATTTTTCTTAATTTCTTCTATATTGACATCCCACCATTTAGTGGTTTCCCTTCGTAAATTTCCACAGACAAAATTGTGCAATTTAAAGCTTTAATATTTGAATTATATATCCCAAACTTGTGGTTATAGAAAATTGCTCAAATTAGATACTCACAAAGATTATGAAACTGTTATAGAGTTTTTGATTCAAAACTTATTTTGTCTATATTGTTTGTCTTGTTTTAATGTGTGCACAAAGGTTTTGTGATGTTTAGTTAAAGTGTTTTATTTGAAACGGAAAAAATACATGTGGACAAAAAATAAACGGAAACAGTACATAGAATTATACATGTATTTAGCATACTCTTAATTTCAACAGCAACTTCAAATATCATATTTCTAAGAGTATTTTATTGTGATTCGTTGAAATCATAAACATCACGCTTATCTGTGTCGAGTTTTTATTTATTAAAACATTAATACTACAGCCGTAACATGTGATACTTGATAATGACATTAAATAACATGTCGACTGGCAACATGCAATTTACATTCAACGTTTTACTTTTTATCCGTTCCGTCAAAAGGGGAAATGTATATCATTTTGCAACAATATGTGTTAAAATCTGTGCCCAATATGAAAAATAAAAATGACTCAAATGTAATAATGACAAAAAGAGTTACTGCCAAGTTTGTTGTTATTCATATAAAAGGCACCTTTAGTAATATGTTTTTTTTATAGAAAAGATAAACAATCATTTGGTACACAGTATTTGACATGTTTCAGTTAAAATTCTTTTGCTGTTTGTTCTTAAATATGAGATGTGAACGAGAACGATTTATCTTAGCTTTTTCTTGCTTAAAGTTGCAGAAATATCTTGAAAACATGCGAGCTCATATTTAAAACGTTCAGAGTCTTTGTGTCCTTTGAAATATTTAAATACATTGTGTTTTTGAACAAATTCTATTTGTCTATCCTGTCTATTATTTCATTTTTGGTTGTGTTTGTATGATTCTAAAAATATAAATATCATTTATCAGTTATTTTAACAACTGTGATATATTTAATGTTGTTTTTTGTATTGAAATTACAAATGTATATAGATTTTGTACTTACCAGACTAATTTTTATTCATAAATTACTAAAAATTAAAAAGATAAAGCATTATGTGTCATTAACACGTATTTCTTTGGCTTCTATAATAAATCGTAACATCTTTCCCAAAACAAAAAATGATAACCTTAACTAGTATTACTTTGCTATCGTTTGTATTACTTTTTAGATGTAGACAGCACATTTTAAATGATGTGACAATATTGAATCGTATTGCATTATTTGTATGCACAGGAATAGTTGTACTTGAATAATAAACCATTTGCAATCTAAGAGACATTTTTGACACTAATTTTTTTATCTTGTAATTCTTTTTCAACTTTCTTTTGTTCACAATAAACAGAGGAAATCTGGTCAAGCAGTCGTGTTTTATTCCAAATTTTTGCAATAACATTCAAACAAAGATGATATTGCACGTAATTTTTCTTGCAAAGCAACTTACCGTCCACACCAGTAGACCTAAGAACCAGGTGAGTGTAAAAGCATTTCGTACGACCTCCAAAGAACATTTAATGTAAATTTAATGTACATCACCTTTTCTATTACGCCCTCGGTCTTACTGGATTTCCCGATAAGGCTTTTTGGTTAGCTAATCAAATCATTATAGAGAGGCATTCGACGGAATTACCATCCGTGCAAAGCCCTTGAATATGCTTTAGGAAAACACCATACACAAATCAGGAAGTCCAGTTGAATTCATCAAAGTCGAACGTACGACACCTCCCTTTAAAAGTTGAAATCATTTTATTATTTTTCTGTCCTAAACTGTTGTGTGTCTAGTATTAGTAATGATATAAAGTAAAGCATATGATGTCAACTAAAGTCCGCAGTGATGAATTACATAAGCCATTCGACATTACGAATATGCTTCCAAAGATTTTTTTTCATATGTGAGTTGACATGCCGATTTGTTTTCGTTTCCTATCTCATGGCCACGAGATGTAACTAAAAATGCTATCTTGTGGCCACGAGATATAACCTAGGACGAAACGAAAAACAAATGCTTTCTCGTTTTTTACACGAGACACAACAAAGTAGAAAAAGCAAAATATCCTAAGTGGCCTCGAGATATAACACAGAAGATAATCAACAAAACAAACAAAAAAAATCGAAAGGAACTTGAAAGCAATTTTTATTCTGAGCACGATATAGAATTTTTGTTTTCTGTTTTTTTCTCAGTAATATCTCTTTGAAACGAGAAAGCAAAGTTTTTTTTAATTTTTTTAGTTATATTTAGTGGCCACGAGATAGCAATTTTGTTGATGTTGTTAAATATCGGTGTCTACGAGAGAAAACAAGAAAAAAAGGAATATCCACTCTGTTCTTCCGTTATATGTAGTGAAGGCGCATTACTAACTTCTTTAAAAGTTCACAAAGAATAAGGTCTGTTTATAAAGGTATGCGTATGTTTTTTTTAAAAAAAAAAACAACACCAAAGTGTTAAGACATTTTTTTCACAAAAAAAACTTTTGTAATTATATTATATCAGAAGAAAGACACATGACAATAAATTAATCTTTATAGTTACAAATTCACAAATTAACATTACCAGAACGTGACTAGACTTTTCTTTTTAAAGACCAGAAATAATGATTTTCTGAATGTTATAAACATTTTCACAATATCTGATTTATTGTATTTTAATGGGAGTCATACATTAGAATACCAGTGACTACACTGGAACTGAACGAGCTATAATATGATAAATAGAATTAACAAATCCAGTTTAAATTTAAAATCTTTTTAATAGAAAATTATTTTTTATTTTATAAAAAGAAATAATTCTCAAATCTTTTCGTTCAAAGGCAATTTATAAAATTGTCATGTGTACTCTGTAAAACGTTAAGTTACGTTAATTGAAATTGATACGATCTTTAAGCGTTTTTTTTCCATCTGTTGAAAGTAACCAAAAATGACAAATATTTGATATCCTTATATCATATAATCAAACTTGTGGCCGCCTAGTCTTCTGGTAAAAATTTAATACACATTAAATGATGCCAGAACCGCCTATTTTATAATATCTTGACAAATCATGTGAAAACGAAAAAATGAAATATTCAAAATATTTACCACTTGAAAATGCAAACTTTCTGTCTGCTCCTTTTACTTGTGTTCCTCATGCTCATTTCTAATCCGGATGTTTAAAAGATCCATTCTTTTTTCATGCTCTTGCTTTGACGATCGTAGGCCAAATATGTTATGGATATTGTTATTTTTTTCCATTAATATTTGTCTATCATGTGATTTATTGCAATAATAAAAAATGATAATAAAAGATGCTAAGCGTCTCATCCTGTACATTTTAAATGTATTAATATAAACATTTTATTTGTCGGAGCCATTGGTTTAAATATCTTCAAACTTGTATTTAAAAACGATGTTGATATGAAGCAGTAGAATAGCTTTCGTCTTAACTACTTCAAAATTTGTTGAATTTAAGTAAACCCGTTATACATTTAATTAATAATACTTTGTTGTGTTAGAATCCATAAGCTTACTGAAACACTGAAATCCGGTCCTGATACCAATAAGTACTAAGCAATGAATGTAAATGTTTGTGCCTAAGGAAACGACGGCTTACCTTTGACAGGGTTTAAACCAACGCAATCAGCAATCCTTTGACTACTAGTCCAACGTGTTAACCACTCGGCCATACCGCCACTCTAGCATTAATTGAACTCGTAATCCAAACATAGTAATAATTCAAAAATAACCAGTGATAAGTAAACTGGAATTAAATTTACATATGTTTTAAATGCTGTAGAAATAAGCTTCAGTCTGGCCAACAAGAGCCGAAACTTTTTTTTCCAATTTTCATTATCAAAAATATTCCGTCCCTTTAAATAATCCGAACATTCGCTAACGAGATTGCAACAGTACACTTTATTTAACGCACAATACATTGGAATGTTATTTAATGCGTACTAGTATATTATATGATATCAGACTTGCCACTCCTCTGAAATTCATTTCTAATAATAATTCCATTCAATTCTTCTTTTACATTCTTTAAGACATTTTGAAATGATTTAGTTGGAAGCTAATCCTGATATTCAATGCATTTTAAACTAGCTAATTGGACTTTTTTAATTTTTTATTTGTGGGAATTGTATTTGGTAAATAGGTAAAATTGAAAACAACGGAGAAAAAATATTTGGTTTCTGTGTCATAAATTGGTTAAATAAAAGGTGAAGTGAGTATTTATATATATATATATATATATATACATTCCTACTTTAAATGATATATTGAAAAATAGCAAGCACATGAACATGTTTAAATAAATCTTATAATTGAAATAAGGGTTCAAATATAATTTTTTTATTTAAAATCATCACTAAGGCACCCGTTTATACTATATAAATGCCCAATTTTTGTAAATATTTTAAAAATATTTCACACAATGAAACGTGTTTTATACAATTTATATAAGGATTGATTTTGTTTTCACCCTAGTTGCACACTGTCATTGGTAGTTTTTTAGGCAAATTATGGAGTGATCAAATAACAGCATGTTTAGATATAACACCTACATTACCTGCTTTCAACCTATCAACTGCTATTGGGGAAATATTAGTTTCATTGGAGAAAACTACCGATTGGTGTTTTAAAAAATTAAAAGTAAAAATTCTCGTTTACATATAAACTGTCTACAACCAATTTACACCGGTGGGCTACAGGTAAAAACGATCAAGTAATCGTTTTTTATCGGTGGGTACTAGGAATTAACAATTTAAACGGGTCCATCAGCGATTGCCGTTTACTACGGTGGCACAGAGGTGACATGTGGGTGTCTTTATTTATCTCGTTC